ATCCCTGTGACTAGTATTTTGTAACTACCAATTGTACTTCTTAATCTCTTCACCTTTTTCACCTAGCCACCCAACCCTCTTCCAGTCTGGCAACTATCCGTCTGTTCTCTGTATCTGAGTCTTTTTCTGTTTTGTTGAGCATGTATTTTGTTCTTTAGAATCCACATATAAGGGAAATCCTATTAACAACTGTTTTTAACCTGCTCTCTGAACTTAATATAGCATGTGTATCTCCCAACAGCCGAACATATTATTCTGTAGAGTCATTTTTGCTTGCATAATATTCCATCATCTAAACAAAGCATAATTTAGCCAGTTTCCTATTGTTGGGTATCAGAATGATTTCCAGCTGTCTTTTACTATGCACTGCTGTCTACTAAACATCTTCGTACTAAATATTGTTCACATCTATAATTATTTCCTTAGGTAAATTCTTAGACTTAGAATTTCAGGTCCAATGCTTTACCATACATGTCTCTTCAGAAAGGCGGTATAATATTAGCCTTATACCCGGAACATGTGCACTTCTGCACAGCCCTCCCCAAACGGATGCTTAAATGTGTGATCTTCTGCTGCCTTTTGTGCAATCTTTTCCCCAATTTTCATCTGGGCACCTCACTCCTGGCTTCTGCTCTCATGCAGAGATAAGCTGATTCTTCACCAAGGTTCATGCATTCAAGTGGTTTGAAATAAATTTTATCTCCAGACAAGTAAATGTAAAAATCACCTATATAATACTACTGATCAAAGATAACCACGGTGGGCATTTTGACACAGTATCCTTTCTCTAGATTTAAATGTCAGTAGGTGGAGGTTTTTTTTATTCTTGTTCTTTTGTGTACATTCTGGGAGAATTGCGTTGTACTCCAATTTGCTCATTTGCTCTTCATATGTGTCCATTCTGCTTTCTCATTAAGTTTTTTTCTTTCTACACTATATATTTTACAACTATATCTATCTATCTATCTATCAAATATCTTTCTATAACTATATATATTTTATTTTTAAGAGTTCTAATAAGTTATTTTTCTCATTTCAGAATGTAATATTTAACTCCTGGAGGATATTAATTTTGATTTTTTTGTATTAAAATATAATTGACATATAACATTGTATTAGTTGCAGGTGTGCAATATAATGAATTGATATTTTTACACATTGCAAAATGGTCACCACAATAAGTGAGGTTAATGTACATCACCACACATAGTTATATTTTCTTTTCTTGTGATGAGAACTTTTAAGATCTACTGTCTTAGCAATTTTCAAATATACAATATATTATTATTAACTATACTCACCATGCTGTACATAACACCCTCTGGACTTTGTGTTGTAACTGGACGTTTATACCTTTTGACCACCTTTATCCATTTCACTCACCCCCTTCCAACCACCTCTGGCAATCACCAATCTGTTTTCTGTATCTGTGAGTTTGAGTGTTGTTTTTTAAGATTCCACATATAAGTGAGATCATATCACTTTCTCTGTCTGATTTATTTCACTTAGCATAATGCCTTCAAGATCTATCTTTATGAAAAATGGCAAGATTTTATTTTTATGGCTGAATAATAATATTCCATTGTGTGTATTGTGACATTTTCTTTATCCATTCATTCACTGATGGACAATTAGGTGACTTCCATGTCCTGGCTCATTTTAAATAATGCTGTACTGAACAGCATTTGATGTAGTCCTGCTTTTTTTCTTTTTTCTTTTGTTGCCTTTACTTTTGGTGTCAGATCCAAAAACTCATCACCAAGACTAACGTCAAGAAGTTTACTGACTATGTTTTTCTTCTAGGAGTTTTATTATTTCCTATTAAGTCTTTATTCCATTTTGAGTTAATCTTTTTGTATGCTGTCATATAGTGGTCCAGTTTTATTCATTTGTATGTAGTTGTGCAGTTTTCCCCATAACATTTATTGAAGAAACTGTCCTTTTCCCATTGTATAGTCTTGGCTCCTTTGCTTTAAATTAATTAAACATATATGTGTGGGTTTATTTCTGGGCTCTTGATTCTGTTCCAATGATCTGTGTGTTTGTTTTTATGTCACTACTATACTGTTTTGATTGCTATAGCTTTGTAATATAATTTAAAATCAGTAAGCGTGATGTCTCCAGCTTTGTTCTTTCTCAAGATTGCTTTGGCTATGTGGCGTCTTTTGTGGTTCCATTCAGAAATGTTTGTTCTATTTCTGTGAAAAATAACATTGGAATTTTGATAGGGATCACATTGAATCTGTAAATTGCTTTAAGTAGCATGGAAATTTTCAAAATACTAATTCTTTCAATCTGTGAGCACAGGATAGCTTTCTTCTTATTTGTGTCTTCTTTGATTTCTTTTATTGGTGTCTCATAGTAGTCAGTGTAAAAGTCTTTTACTTGCTTGGTTAAATTGTTTCCTAGGTATTTTATTCTTTTTAATGCAATTGTAATTGGGGTTGTTTTCTTAATTTATCTTTCTGATAGTTTATTATTAGTGTATATGCAACATATTTTTGTATACTGACTTTGTATCCTGCAGCTTCACTGATTTATTAGTTCTAACGGTTTTTAGGTGGAGTCTTTAAGGCTTTCTATATATATATATTTTTTAAAAAAATATATTTTATTGATTTTTTACAGAGAGGAAGGGAGAGAGATAGAGAGTTAGAAACATCGATGAGAGAGAAACATCGATCAGCTGCTTCCTGCACATCTCCCACTGGGGATATGCCCGCAACCCAGGCACATGCCCTTGACCGGAATCGAACCTGGGACCTTTCAGTCCGCAGGCCGACGCTCTATCCACTGAGCCAAACCGGTTTCGGCATCTATATTTTATATTATGTCATCTGCAAATAGTGACAGTTTTACTTTTCCTTTCTGATTTAAGTGCCTTTTGTTTTGTTTGTTTGTTTGTTTGTTTTTTCCTTGCCTAATTGCTCTGGCTAGGAATTCTAATGTTGAATAAAAGTGGCAGGAGTGGGCATCCTTGTCTGTTCCCAATCTCAGAGGAAAAGCTTTGAGCTTTTCACCATTGAGTATGATGTTAGCTGTGGGCTTATCATATATGGCCTTTATTATGTTGAGCAATGTTCCTTTTATACCCCTTTGTTGACAGTTTTATCATGAATGTATGATGAATTTTGTCAAATGCTTTTTCTGCACCTATTCAGATGGCTGTATGTGTTTCATCCTTCATTTTGCTAATGCTGGTATATCACATTAATTGATTTGTGGATGTTAAACTATCCTTGCATCCCTGGAATAAATCCCACTTTATTTTGGTGTATGACCCTTTTAATGTATTGTTGAATTTGTTTTGCTAATATTTTTTGAGAATTTTTGCATCTATGTTCATCTAACTCCTAATTTTAAAAGAATCATCATCTGTTATCTCTTTCATGTCTCCTTCTTTCATTTCTCTATTTGTGAAATTTATGTTTCTTTCTCAGCATTGTCTTTACTTTTTTCCTTCTTATTGAATTTTTTGGAGTGACACTAGTTAACACAATTATGCAGGTTTCAGGTGCATAATTCTGTAACGCATCCTCTGTACACTGTGTTGTGTGTTCACCACCCCAAGTCAAGTCTCCGTCCATCACCATTTATCACCTCTATACCCTCATCCACCTCCCCCCACCTGCTTCCCTGCAGCAGTCACCACACTGTTGTTCTTGTCCATGAGTTTTTTCTATTTTTCCCCCATTTTTTGCTCTGTCCTTCCATCCCTCCCACCATTGTCCCACCACCAACTGCTGTCAGCCTGCTTTCTATGAGTTTGTCCCTCTTTTGCTTGTTAGTTCAAAATGTTTGCTGATTCTTGACTGTACTCATCTCAGTTCCCAAGGCCTCTGCTGGCCTGGCTGCCAGGGCTGTTTCTGTTTATGCTGGTTGCCCCTGAGGTTGTGGACAGGGGCGTGAGGTCCTGCTAGTCTTCTGGGCCCCATGTCTCCTGACTATCAGCAGCTACTCAGGGCTTCCCCCACCCCCTTAGGCTGCCTTAAGTGCTCTAGCCTTGGGTAAAAGCTGCTGCCTTCTCCCTGCTCCTAGAGGTGAGAGGGAGGCCAACTTGGCCAACCTGCCCAACTCATCCAGTAGAATTCCCCCAAAGACAACCTCCTTGGCATAACCAACGACCCTTCTGCTCCTTGTCTGTGTGACTGCTAAGTGTGGTGCATGCCAGTCACCCTCCCACTTTGTACAGAACCTTCTCCTATGTGTGCTTTGGGCCGTGGTCTCCTCGAGCCATCTGGTCTCCCTCTGCTTTCTGTGTTTCAGTATTTCTCCACCTTTCTGGGCCATTGAAGACATTCTTTCTTGCCTTCCAGTGCTATTATGGGTGTGTGTTTTGTCTTTCTAAATCCTTCTGTTGTTTCTGGAGATTTTTGGTGGAATGGAGGAGTCAACAAACTAGAGTGTAAGAACCTGTGAGTTAGTTATTAAGAGCACGAGAGGCCCGGTGCACGAAAATTTGTGCAAGAGTAGGCCTTCTTTCCCCCGGCTGCTGGCACCGGCTCCCCTCTGGCACCCGGGATCCGGGCTTCCCTCCTCCGGCCGCCAGCAGGCCTGGGACCCGGGGTTTGCTCCGGCCCGGCTTCATCTGGAAGATCGTCCGGAATGACGTCTGGAAGGACTTCCAGTCTAATTAGCATATTACCCTTTTATTATTATTGATAGTTCTGGAGTCAAACACACATGAATTTGACTCTCAGCTCTTCCTCTTACTAGCTATGTGCCTTGCAATTTTCTTACTCTCTCTGAGCCTTTCTTCTCTTGTGGGATCATTATTATCGCGACACTTCAATGAGCTCAGGCACCCAAGCCCTCAGCAGAGCCTCTAGCAGAGGGAACACTCAGTGTTAAATCTTTTGCTTAGTTTTATCATTGTTTTTATTCTTGTTTCTTATTAAGCTGAGCCTGGTTAGTTGAGGTCCATCCATGTTACTTGGACTCGCACTCTCCTGGCCTCACCAAGAACAAGTAGGCTGATGCCTCCTCCTCTCTTCCTACAGCCCAGCTCCATCGGCTGGAGGGGCTGAGGACCATCGGCGTCACCACCAATGGCATCAACCTCGCCCGCCTGCTGCCTCAGCTCCAGAAAGCCGGTCTCAGTGCCATCAACATCAGCCTGGATACGCTGGTGCCAGCCAAGTTTGAGTTCATCGTCCGCAGGAAAGGTGACCGTGCAGCTCCCAATGGAGGTGCCCTCTGAGGCCCCGGAGCTGGGGCTGGGGCCAGAGGCCTGGGCTCTCACCCTTGGTGTCTTGGCTAAGGATAAGCCTGGGCTTCACCCCTCACCCTCTCCAAATGCCCCTCGTCTTTGTAGCCACAGCCCTGAAGGCCTTTGGGGGTCAGATGCTAAGAGCTATGGTGACCAACCTCCCTGTACTCTGTCCCCAGTTTGCTCATGACTAAGAGGGTTTCAAGAACTCAGGACTTTCATTTTGAAACCAAGATAGCCCCTGGCAATCTGGGCTGAATTGGTTGCCCAGTGATGAGTTCTGCAGAAATGTGGGGCCGGCCAGGGTGGAAGCAGCAGCCCTGAGGTGCCAGGGTCAGGGCCAGCACTGCCAGGTGGGGGTCCCCCAGCAGCCCCCAAGGGTGCTCCCTGTGCCCATCCTGGATGTAAGCCTCTCCCTTCACCCCTGCAGCAGGGACTCCCACAGCCTCCTCCCACTGGGTTTCATCGGGGAGGGCAGGGCGAGAGGGAGACCTTCCAGAGTCCCCTGTGGTCTCGGGCCGTGGGCTTCACATTGGGACAGAGGCTCCGGCCTCTCCCTGTGCCTCCCTGCTTACAGCCCTCCGTGTGCTGAAGTGCTCGCGAGGCCTCGCCCTCCGTGAAGCCTGCTCCCGGCACTGGGAGGGGACAGACACACAGGACATTGCCCTGCAGGACAGGCTACTGAAAAGGTGTGAGGCCACTAGGTTTATGGTGTCCATTGAAGTGACAGCGAGGGAGAGAGAGCTGCCGCACATTCCTCCCCTTGCCCTCCTTCACCGGGCCCGTCCAGAAAGGCTGCAGGGACAGCATGAAGGCCATTCCCAGGCCACGCTCCCTCAGCTGACATCCTGGCTAGGAATCCCCTGTGATCTGCAGACTCTGCCGGCTGTGGGCGGGTGAGACCGGCGGGCAGTGGGTGCAGGAATGAGCTGAGGGGGGCTGAGGGGAGTGAGGGGAGGATAGGTCAGCCTGAGTAAGCACAGAGACAGGTGTGAACCACATGCATGGGAATCGCTCACCAGCCCTGACACAGCTGTGCACAGTAGGCGCTAGTGAGAACATGTAGATTATATGAACCGACAGGCTGTTGGGGAGAAAGCCTGGATACGGGGCCAGGAACCTGTGTTCTGAGATGTGGTGTGCTGCAGCCAGCAGGGCCCTGCTTCTCTGGGCCTCAGTTCCCTCTCAGGACTGAGCAGGCCCCCCAGGTCTGCGTTGCACACTACAGCCCAGGGGTCAGACCCAGCCCCTGCCTGCTTTTAACAGCCTGTGAACCAAGAATGGGCTTACTGGTAACATTTGCAATCAATTGAATGATAGGGAGCATTGACTATGAACCCCAACCAAGCAAAATATTATCCTTGTAAAAATAATTAGTTTCTTCCATTCCATACGTGGACCTGTATTACCAAAAACTATTCTCAATTATTATCATATTCTGAATTGCATCAATGAAATCTTTATGGCATACACCTACATAATATCCTCAATTTTGCCTCTTGGCCTGCAAAACCTAGAATATTTACGATCTGGCCCTTTACAGAAATGCTTGTGAGCCAGGCCTCAGTGGTCTCAGAGATGCCTTACTTCCCAGGTCTGTGAGGGAGGGGCCCAGGGAGAGGGAGGAGTTCCTGACTGTTTCTCTTCCTCCCACAGGCTTCCACAAGGTCATGGAGGGCATCCACAAGGCCATCGAGCTGGGCTACAGCCCCGTGAAGGTGAGGGTGGGCCCCTTCTTCTATCCCTCCACCCTGGCTTGGTCTTTCCCTGTCAGCTCCTGGCCACCACTTCCCTACCCACTGCATCCAGCCCTGCCCCTCACAACGCAAGGGAGGGCAGAACTGTGACCTCCATGGATTCCACAAACCCAAGGAGAGCTGTGGGGCGAAGGGCAAGGACCGGGACCTCCACTGGAGAGCCCAGGCAGGTCCCAGATCCCCAAAGGTCACCCCTGCAAAACAGCCCCGAGGGCAGCGCTCATGGTCCCTTCATCCCGGGCAGGTGAACTGCGTGGTGATGCGCGGCCTGAACGAGGACGAGCTCCTGGACTTTGTGGCCTTGACCGAGGGCCTCCCCTTGGACGTGCGCTTCATAGAGTACATGCCCTTTGACGGTCAGTGATGGGGGTGCGGAGGGATGAGGAGCTGGGCCTACGGACAGAGCATGGAGCCCCCGTGAAGGGTGTGTGGGGCAGCAAGGTCTGGCTCACACTGTGGGTGCTGCTGACCTCCAACCCTGCTGTGTGTGTAGAAACTTCTCCAGAGATGGTGGGGAGGGGCCCGGCAGGGCTAGGCTAGGGCTGCGTGGGTATCAGAGGCCTCCTGACTCCGGGCTGTGCGGGAGGGTGGGCTCCTGCCCTGCTGGACTCGGGAGCCTCCAACCCCCATACAGGTAACAAGTGGAACGTCAAGAAGATGGTCAGCTACAAGGAGATGCTGGACACCCTCCGGCAGCAGTGGCCGGAGCTGGAGAAGCTGCCCGAGGAGGAATCCAGCACAGCCAAGGTGGGGCAGCCTGGGGCTGGGCGGGGGAAGTTCAGGAGAGCTGGCAGGGGCCGCGGGCGGTCAGAGGGCAGCGATGTAGGGCAGTGCCAGTTAGCAGGATGCCCTTCAGTGCCAGCACAGCAGCCTCCCTTCTCCCGGATCAAGAGGATAAAGAAGCGGCGGGCGTGGGACAGGGGTAAAGTGACTTGACAGGACACACGCCAGTAAGTGGGGGAGGGGTGCTCCGTCTGCTCCCCTACGGGCCTGCTCTGGCCGCGGTGCTCCGGTCTCCGTATGCTTAGCTGGTCTGCTCGGCAGGCCAGGCACGGGCAGAGCTCGTCCCCACTCGTGTACCTGAGTCTGCTGTGGTCTGAGGGCCCTGGGTGCTCCCTTCCGAAGGCTTCCCTGAGGCCGTGGAGTGAGGGCTCAGGTCGGCAGGGAGAGCGGGCCCTCTCCGCCCCGGTTCCCGCCACTGCCCTTCTCCCTCCTCGCCCAGACCTTTCGCGTCCCTGGCTTCCGAGGCCAGCTCAGCTTCATCACGTCCATGTCTGAGCATTTCTGTGGGACCTGCAACCGGCTGCGCATCACAGCCGACGGGAACCTCAAGGTGAGCGTCTGCACATCCCTCCCACCGGCCCCGAGTGGAGGGGAAACAGCGGGGCACACGGGGTGGGGGGTGAAATAGTGTCAGATTTGGGGAGGTCATGGGAGCAGCACCCTGATTTATCCCTTCCCTTTCCTCCCTCCCTCCCTCCTTTCCTCCCTTCCTTCCTTCCGTCCTTCCCTCCTTCTTCCTCCCATCCTTCCCCCCTCCCTCCCTCCCTTCCCTCCCTCCCTCCTAGTAACTTGCAGCTGATTGGGAGCCATTTTCCAGGACTTGGTGCTACCATGGCGGGGGGAGGTGGTGAAGGTTTTGCCTTCCCCCCCCTCCCCATGTTGGCCCCTTCCACCAGCCAGGGGCTCAGCTCTGAAACCAGCCTCGTTACTCATGTCTAACGAGCATGTGCTGTGCACCTGCCCTGAGGGATGAAAGGGAGACATAGACCTGCCCCACCCTTTAGGGGCACACAGGCTCCTTGCTAAGACCAAACAAAGCTGCTAATGTGCGCAGGTGCAGGATTCTTGGTCCAATGAGTGATGGACATAAGGGTGATGGATATAAGGGGTGGACCTGAGGGAGCGGGTGGTGGGCCTGGAAGGATGGCTGGGTGGAAGTGAGGGCAGGGGAGGAGGCGTCAGTACATCCCAGCATCCTGGGCAGATCACAGTCAGATCTGGGAGAGTGTGCTAGGGGCTCGAGTGCCCAGGGAGAAGGTGCGGAGTGTTCTGTTGACGGGGGAGGGGGGGCGACGGGGGCTGTGCAGGGTTTCTGAGCAGGGGGAGACCTGGTCCCCTGTTCACATTTTAGGAAAAATAATCCGCAGGTTGAAGTTGGAAATAGGAAGACTGGTTAGATGGCCATTTGGCGATGTCCCAAATGTGTAGGAGTGTGCAGTGAAGATGGGAAGGAGGAAAGGGGACTTGGTCGTGCAGGTGGCGGGTGGAGAGAAAGGCATCAGGGAAAGACTCTGGGACCCGGTTAGTACTGGGGGTGGGGGTGGGTGGGGGCGTTTCAGATGCATCAGGTTTGCCATCCAGAAGGAATCGTTCAGCTGTTACTAAAAAGCAAAAAGGTTTTCCTGGGCTGGGATTTAAAATGGACCTGAACTGTGGGTGGTGAGGCAGGGCCCTGCAGGAAATGGAAGGTGGGGTTCTGAAGGGACTGGACTGAGGAAGCTGCTGGTGATGCAGGTGAGGGGGGCTGTGAGGGGTGTTGAGGCACCCCATGAGCAGCAGCTGGGCCCACCGTGGGGGGAGCGGGAGGGGAGGAGGTGGTGCCATTGGGGCCAGTGAAAGCCAGACGGAGGCTGGTTCAGTGGCCTCCTGGTTGGTGTCATTATGGAGGGAAGCAGCCACTCCAAGTCAGAGCAGGGAGGAAGCAGGGAGCAAGCACCAGCCTCCCTCTCCTCTCCTGTCAGCCAAGCCCAGGCCCAGGCAGAGGCAGCTGGAGGGGGCCTGGAAGGTACAGCTCCTGGGCCTCCTGGGGGCAGAGAGGGGTGGAGAGTAAAACCCAGGGCCTGGAAGGTGTAGTCCCTGGGCCTCCTGGGGGCAGAGAGAGGTGGAGAGTAGAACCCGGGGCCTGGTGGGGAGTGAGGACGGGAGCAGCATGGTGAAGTAGGTGTACCTTTTGCTTAGATTTCACTCCTGTCTTCTCGGGTGGTCTCTGCCCTCAGGGGCTCCTCAAACATTCTTCTGTCACTGAGTCCACAGAGCCTTGTAGTATAGCGCTGGCACATAGTAGGTGCTTTATAAGGTTCTGTGGGAGGGTGGTGGGTATCTTTCTTTCTGGAGCCCCCAGAGCCCCAGCCTCTCTCGGGGCTGGGAGCCCTGAGTCAGTGTGACTGACCGCAGGATGGCCTTCCCCCAGCCCCCTGCTGTCCGCATTGGAGTGGGACAGGGGCTGGCAGGTAACGTCCATGAGACAGGGGAGCAGGAGGGCCCGAGGGAAAATGGGGTGTGCGCAGGGGACTGCTGGGTCTCAGCGAGGACGCCTCAGGAGGCCATTCCAGGGAAGGTCCCGGAGGAGTGTGCATCGGGATGGCTATCTCCATGGGCAGCAGTTCCGTTTTTTAAAGCTCACTCTCCAAGCTGAAGGCGACATGATCGCAAGCCAGAGCCAGGCCAGGGATGTCTGCATCTGCTTCCTGCCCTCCAGCCGGACTCCTCCATCCAGCGCCTCCTGCCCCTGGTGGTGGAAAGTCCTGCCCTGACTGTGCCCAGCCGTGGGAGGCCTGGACGCTGGTCTCAGCCCAGAGGGGTCTCCAGGGATGGGCCGGGGCCAGGGATGCAGGAGGCCCATTGTCCTCACCCCTGTGATAACCCCCTCAGGTCTGCCTCTTTGGGAACTCAGAGGTCTCCCTACGGGATCACCTGCGGGCGGGGGCGTCTGAGGAGGAGCTGCTGGGGATCATCGGGGCGGCTGTGGGCAGGAAGAAGCGGCAGCACGCAGGTAAGGGGTGGGGTGGGCGGGCCAGGCGGGGTGAGTGGGCCACTGTCAGCAGGAGGGAAGCAGAGTTTGGGGGGAGGACAAAGCACAGCCTGACAGGGAGCTGGGGACTCAGTGTTGGACCCCTAGACTTGGGGTGCGGTGATGGTTCTCCTCCTGGGAGGCTGGCACAGTGGAGACTACAAGGGACAGGTCCCCAAATTCTCTTGGGCTGTTTCATTGGTGGGGAAAGGGGTGTCATTGCCCCTCTCTTCCCACACACGGCATTCTGTCAGGAGGGCAGGGCCTGGCGTCAGACTTCTGGGCTCGGTCCTGGGTGGCCCTCAGCACACAGTAGGGGCTTTGTCAGGTGCTCCTGGGTGAGTGCATGTACACGGGCTGTCACACCACTGTGTCCATGTTTGTGTCACGAACTGTCCCTCCTTCTCTCCCCTCCCCTGCTCTCCCTCCCCCGCTCTCCCTCCCCATCCTTCCCTCACCCCAGGCATGTTCAGTATCTCCCAGATGAAGAACCGGCCCATGATCCTCATCGGTGGGTGACCCAGCAGTACGTAACCACTCGCCCTTGTCATTGGGTTCCGTGGGGTGGGCCCCCCTGCCATAAGGCACCCCTAGACCCTGCATTTCATCCCGATGTTCGCAGCCTGGTTTTCTTCTGTTCCCCCTCATCCTGTCCTGCCCCCTCATCCTGTCCTGCCCCTTCAAGCTTTGGCTGCCTCTGCTCTTGCCTCTGCACGCACCCCTGCACCAAGCATGCCACAGGAATAATCATTGTGTCACCAGGAACTGGGGGGGGGGGGTCCCCTGGATTTAATTGTCTTCCCTCTGGAGTGTGGGCCCACGCACGGGCGCATCTGGACCATTAGCACCCACTGGGCGATGTGTCACTGGCTTCTGCGCAGGGCAGAGCTTGAGCCGCAAGCTAGGAGTGCTGCTTACTCACCTGTCAGGGAGGACACAGCCACAGTCACAGCCTCCAGGTTCCTAAACTCCCGGGAACTGCGTGATGAGGACATCTCTCATTGCGTGGGAGGCCGCAAACAAAAGCCCCTTTGATACAGGGCTGCATGTGGCGGCTTCTCTCCCGCTGGCTTCTGCGCAGGGCAGAGCTTGAGCAGCAAGCTAGGAGTGCTGCTTACTCACCTCGTCAGGGAGGACACAGCCACGATCACAGCCTCCAGGTTCCTTAACTCCCGGGAACTGCGTGATGAGGACATCTCTCATTGCGTGGGAGGCCGCAAACAAAAGCCCCTTTGATACAGGGCTGCATGTGGCGGCTTCTCTCCCGCTCGGCTTTGTGCTCTCCATTCCTCCTCCCGTGGTGTGGGCAGAACCAGAGTGGGGGAGGAGAGAGGGTTGCGAGAGGAGGCGGGGAAAAGAATGCCCTTTGCCCTGAGTCTGTCTTCTCCTTCCTTCTTGCAGGATTGTTTTGGATGCTCCAAGATTCCCCACCAGCCATTCCAAGCCTTTCCTCTTGGGACCCACTCGGCGTTCAGGGTCTGAGACACAGAGCGAGTCTCTCCAACCAGGTGGCGACTCTGTGGAAGGGCTGCCGGGGGCCCCAGTCCCCTCCCCTCGCCCAGCGGTGGCTGGGGCCTGGCTCCCCTCAGAGACACTACTGTTCCCACCCCAACTCAGACACCAACCCCAAGTGCCTTAGCCCCGGGTCCCGGGCTCCTGCCACCCACTCAGGATCGCTGCCAACCTCGGACCAGCTCACCCACGTGGACACGGAAGGCCGGGCAGCTATGGTCGATGTGGGTGGTAAGCCGGACACAGAGCGGGTGGCCGTGGCCTCCGCCACGGTCCTCCTGGGGCCGGTGG